ACGCCCGGGAAGAGGGAAAAAAATAAAATAAAATAAAAGGGGCTGCCGCCCTTCAATTATACAAATGACGATAGTGGCACACAAGTGGGGAGCGGGTGGAGACAACTATACGGCCCCTGCCACCAACGATCAAAATGCGTCTCCCCCGCGTTGTTTGAGCAGCAAAGGCACCTCAGGGGTTTGCAATCCGGCTCGTTTGCAGTGCGAACTTAAGCTGCGCCAGGAGCCAATGACAGCGCTCCTGGGGCGCCACGGGGAGCCAATGCTTGGGGGGTGCTCCGTCACCGGTGGTGTGCGAAGCGAGCAACGCGTTTGATGCCTGCGGGCCGCGGGGCTCGTCGGTGCGGCATCAAGCAAAGATGTCACTTCACTCGCGTGCATCGGCAACCGATCACATGATGTCTGCGGCGGCGGTGAGGTTAAGAAGCCAACGCGTCGGTTGCCGAGGAAGCCACCGAGGGTTCCGCGCTGCCCCGTTTCCTGGCGTTGCACCTCCTCCCCCACACGCACCTGCGCGTGTGCCAGTGGACTCGCCTCAGAGTGCAGCTCGGAGGCGCCGATGTCCGCGGCTGCCGAAGACGGGGCAACGAGGATGTACAGGGGTGACGGAGCGGCGCCGAGGCTGCCCGGCGACTCATTCACGACACGCTGAGCCCCCTCCGCCGCTGCCCCGGCAGGGATAACCGGATGACGTCGGTGCGACTCGCCCAAACCCCCACCGCACGAGCCCGCGGGTGGCGAGACAAGCACCCGCCTCTCTTCGTGTGCGAGTAATTTGGGCCGGGCACCTTCAACCTCGTGGAGGGCGTCTGCATCATGCCGCTCTGTCCGTTGCGTGCAAACAGAAGGCGGGCGTGTCGACGAGGTGAGAGGCACCGCCGGCGCAACATTTAAGGCGGGATCGTCCTCCGTGTTGTTGCCATCGCCGCAGGCCTCGCCAGCGCAGTCCGAAGGAGGAGCCGTCATCGCCAGCACCGGCCCCGACGAACTCTGCGGCCGCTGCTCAGGGCTCCGACCCAGCCGCTGCCAAGGGAAAAGGGCTGCCTTGCGATCCGCGCCCCGCCGGCCATCCTTGCCACGACGCCAGCGAGGGCCCAGCGTGTCGCCAGCAGGTCTGATAAACGGCGGCTCCTCGTGGAACTCACTAGAAGTTGCTTCGCCGCCGCCGCTTACACGCAGTGAGTTTGACCCCGCAGAGGAGCGGGCGCGGGCCCCCTGCGTGTGGTGCTTCATCGCATCCGCCACGGGACGCACACGCAGTGTGTGTGTGTGTGTGTGTGTGTGCGAGTGGAGGAGGGGAGAACTCAACAGCTCGTCTACCTACAGGACACGCCAAGAGAAGCAACGGCAACTAAGGGGGGAAGAAGAAGAAGGGAGGAAAGCGAACAGTGGGAGGAACAGAGGGCCGCAGGCGGTGGCGGGAGGAGGCGTGGGCGCCGGTGGTGCGCCAGCCGCAGCAGCGGCCTTGTCTCCCTCTCTCTTGCCGGCTCCTTCGTGGAGCCAAACGACGCCGCACGACGTTGGCCAAAGACACACAAGTCAACTCTAACGGAGAGAGTGAAGGAGGGGGCAGGTGAAGAAGCGGCAGGCAAAGAAGCATAAAAAAAAAAAGACAAAAAAATGAAAAACGAAAACCAAAATGATACGGTACTCACAAGGGCCGGCCGTCCTATTCGCCTCGCTGGGCCTACCGCTTCGCGTCCCCCGCGGCAGCTGCCGCGCAGGAGGAGACGGCAGGTAAAAAAGGGAAAGAAATAATCCTTCGAGCGTCGCAGTCCAGGCAGGTGTGGAAAACCTGTCTCGCGTTCTCGCCGGAGGGGCAGCAAGGCCCGGAGCAAAAACGATAAAAACAATAAAACAAATAAAAAATATATATACCGGCAGGGGCCCAAGCGGGGAGAAGTACAGTGCAGAGCATATATTTATCCCCCTCGGCTGGCCCCGCAACCTCTATTCGCAACGACTCTAAACTAGCTGGGGGTTGCCGCAGCAACGGCACACCACAGCGTCACGCGTGTTCTGCCACGAGCACCGCTCGCACTCCACCTTTTCGTCCGTCTTGAGTACGTTGTACTTCCGAATCCAGACCTCTAGCTGCGACTGGAGGAACTTATTCGCGCCGAGGAGGTCGTCGGCCAGCTGCGCTGCGCTGTCCTTGCCGCTCAGCCGATGCGCATGTTCGCGCAGCAGGAGCCTCTCACGGTCGCCCAGCAGCTTCTGCAGGTCAGCGTAGTTGCGGCGTTGCCGCTGAAGCTCGCGCTCGTAGTGCTGAATACGTCGCTTCACCTCCTCGTTCTTTTCAAGCTGTGCTCGCAGGTCGCTCTCCTGGTCCAACAGCGTCCGCTCGCCGTCTACCGCGGTGCAGACCGCCTCATCAAGGCGGCGTGCGAGGTCGGCGGCCCGCTGCTGTACACGTTGCTCTTGGATCCGCTGCAGGTTGCGCTCCCGCTCCTCAGTATCCTGCAGAAGCTGGCAAGCCGCCTCCCCCAACGGCGCCTCCCCCGGCACGTCCATGTACTCATCCTCCTCTAGTGATAGAAGATACATGCGCATCCGCTCCTCCTCGGCAGCGACACGGTTTTGCCATCGCTCCTCATCCGCATGAAGCTGTTTAATGTAACGGCGCATTTGAGCCCCCAACTCACGAAGTTCGGCTTCCTTTAGCTTCAGCAAATTCTGGGCGTCTGCCTGACTGCCTTCGCCTGCGACGCCGTGCTGGATCAGCTCGCCCTGCAACAACTCATGCATTTTATCAATGTACTCGCCCTCGGTCCTCTCCCAGGTATTAATGTCATTAGCTTCTCCTGCCGCCTGCCGCTCCTTCAGCAGGTGCTGCGTGCGCTTTACGTGGCCCTCGAGGACCGACTCTCGCCTGCGCAGCTGCTGGCGAGCCGCCGCGAGTTCCGCCTCGATCCGGCGGTGCTCCGCCGTTTGTTCGCGGCCCGCCGCCTCCAGCTCACGCAGGTACGCCTTTCCCTGCTCCTCCTTCCAGTAGAAGTCCTCCTCCCGCTGCTGCTGCAGCTGCTTAAAGGAAAGGATGCGCTGCGTCAGGCGTCGTTGCTCCGCGGTAAGCGCTTCCTCACGCCGCTGCAACTCCGCACGGGAAACCGCCTCGTGTGCCTCGATGCCCCCCGCCGGAGCCAACGCCTCAGGCTGCGCCGTGCCCAGGCGTGACGCACGCGCGGCACCCTCAAGGAGCCTCAGAAGCTCGTACTCACCAGTGCGCGAGGATTCGAGCATCGCACGGGACCGTTGCTGCATGGCAAAAAAGAACTCCTGTACCCAACTGGACCAAGTCGCGTGTTGACGGAGATGTTTCTGCCGCAAGAGTTCTACGCTTCGCTCGTATCGGGACACCCTCAATTCATTCCCTTCGAGGTGCATCTGTCGCTGGATAAGGCCCAGTTCGCCGTCCTCGTGCCTCTTCAGCGCGGCCCGCGCGTGCCCCTCTGCGTAGTCCACGCCCCACAGCTCACGGCGCCGCAGTGCCTCCTCGCCCAGTCGCAGGCATGCCGCGAGGTTTTCTGCGTCGCCGTCAACCATGGCAAGGCGGGTCTTCAGCTCGGCCTCAAGCATTGTCGCCGCCTCACTCCTCGCCTCGGCATCTAAAGCAACACCCGCCATGGCAGATTCGCTTGCGTGCGGGCCCAACGCCGTGGCCTCTTTTGCCCATTGCGGCTGTCGCCGGCGGAGCCCCCCCTCCCGTGCGTCCAGGGCCTCCTTTTTTAGTCGCAGCGCCGCCTCCCGCTCAGCAAGAGTCTTTTCTAGCTGTGCGCGGCGCCGACTCGCGCCTTCAGTCTTGGCGTTGCCCTTGTCACTCGCTTCAACTTCTTCTTCCACCACAGGCAGCTTCTTTACACCCAAATCGACAGAACCCTGGCCGAGTTGCGGTTCAGACTGCACGCGTGGGGAGGAGTGCCGGTCACAAAACGCGGGCTTCTCCACCTTCTTGACTTGCTCAGCAAGCGCTTCTTCTCGGCGCGAAATGTGCGTCTCCCGCTCGGCAGCACGTGCCTCCGACTCCTGCTGCATCTCCTGTAGCTCCACTTCTTGCCGTTGTATGGCCAGCTCCTTCTCGTAAAGGGCACTCATCTCCTCACACTGCTTCTTGGCGTCCGTGCCGTGCAGCTGCAGCTGCACCTCCGCCTTCCGCAGTTTTTCACGCAGTTTGAGCTCGCGTGCTTGCGCCTCATCCTGCGAGGCCTCTCTGCGACGCGTCAGGTCGCTTTCCTTGACTGCAATCTTTGCCTGGAGCCGCTCTATCAGAACTTTGGCCTCCAACAGCCTCCTGCTTAACTCCCTCTCGCGGCAGGCCGTTTCCTCCCGCAGCCCCTTCTCACGCTGGGCGGCGAGACGCTCCTTCCGCTTCAACCCCTTCTTCAAGGACTCCACGGTCTCAACGAGCTCGTCCACGCGCCTGCTCAAGATGCCGCCAAGCTGCTGCATGCGCTCCTCCGCCGCCTGCTGCTTCTGAAGCATGTTCTTGGTCTGGCATTTGAATTGTCTCTCCATCGCCTCGCGCTGGCTCTGAATTTCGCGCTGGTGCCCTTCTGCCAGCTCCTCGGCCCTGCGGTGCGCATGGCGCAGCTGCCGCTCCTTCTCCTGTTGCTTCACCTTGGCACGCTCCACCTCAGCGGCCAACTCCTGGAGCCTGCTGTCGTACCGCCCCCGCTCCTCCTCCATCTTGCGGAAGTACGTCGCCAGTTCCTCTTCCTTCTTTGCGAAAAGGGCCATGCGGCGTCGCGACAACCCCTGCTCCTGCCGCAGTCGCTTGTTGGCCCTCTCCAGCTGCTGCACAAGGTCCTGGTACTGTCTACTCCCCTGCTGAGTCTCAGAAAGCTGGCAACGCAACCGCAACAGCTCCTCGTTCGCTTTGCGCAGTTCGATGGCGGATGGGTCCTCCTCGACGTGAGGCCTGTTCACGACGTGGCGTGCCCTGGCGCCATATTGCAGCGTCTGCACCGTCTCCGAGCGGTGGGCCTTGGCGGGCGCTACGGTGCATATCATTGTCGTCTTGCTGTTGCCGCCAAACGCGTCCTTGAGTATCTTCGTCAGCGTGCTCTCGCGGTACGGGGGCTTGATGTTGCGCCTCCCGGGGTCGGAGAGAGACTCAATCACCAGGCCGAGGGTGAACAGAGAGAGATTGATGTCCACGCCTTCCCTGAATTGTTGCCCGGAGACACCGGACTCGCCGACGCGCTCGCTTCCGGCCAAGTCAACGAGGCGGATGACCAGGCTTTTACTCAGCGCACTCGCCACCTCGCCGTCAGGGTCGGTGAAGGATAAAATCTCCGTCAGCTCCACAACAAAGATGGCGTGGCTGCGGTTGCTGCGCTCATTCATGGAAGTGGAAGCCGTCCTCCTGCAGCTGTTCCCAAGTGCTAGGGCCTGTAAAATATCCAGCGTGTTTTTCACCTGCACACGGCGCGCGCCAGCGAGGGAGAAGTATGTTTCGTTTCCAACGGCGTCGTCACGGAGGGTGACGGGAGTGTTGCGGTTCAAGAGATCGCTGATCTTCTCGCAATACACCTCCACAAAGGAGACGTGCACCTCCCAGCTGATGGTCTCTCCGGTAGCGGAGGTGAATGAGCGGCTTTGAATCTCTTGAAACATGTCCCGGCAGAGGCGCGGAATGATGCCCTCCTCACTGCTATTGAGCACGTCCTCGCCGTCTTGCGTCACGGCTGCGCCGCCCTCGCCCATCATGGTGTACGTCTTCCCGCTCCCTGTCTGGCCGTACGCCACCAAGGTGCTGTTAAAGCCGTCAAGCGCGTGCCTGAGCAGCGGTCGCCCAACCCGCTCGTACAAGGCGGACTGCGTCACCGGCGTGGAGCCGTCTAGTGCCTTCCCCACGCAAGACCAGACAGGCATGTCGACGGAAAACATCCGCTGGCCCTCCATCCTGTCCTTGACGACGACGATTCCGCGGGACGGATCCATCGTGACCACCAGCTCCTGCGCGGACTCACTGGGGGACGGCGGCCGCACACGCACCACCACGTGGACGGCCTCACCGCCGCCACGGGGCGTTGCCCGGCCGGTGGCAGACCCCGAGCTCAGAGGCCGCCCCCCGCGCGGCCTCGAGGGCGGACGCGGGGGAGGCGCGGGCGTGTCAGACTCGCGGTGCCTGGCGCTCAGCATGTACCGCTGCATCGACATTGCGCTTAGACCTGTGTGCGTGCAACTGCTTTCCTCTCGCCGGGGCTGCTGCTGCCGCCGCCGCTGCTGCGCTCGCTGCGCGGGGAAGGGGCGGTTCAGTCTCAAACCGAGGCAGGCGTCTCTCCCCCCTCTTGGGCCTCGACCTGAAGAACAGCAAAAAGGAGAAACGCCCGGCGAGATGAGTTTCCCGCGTGCTGGATAAATGACGGATTTGGGAGAAAACGAAAAGAACGGGAGCAAACAGCGGAGCTGGGGCACGCGTTAGATGCACCGGAGGGATGCAGGGGAGGGGAAGGAAAGCAGAACAAAACAAAAGGCAATGGGGATACACGACGGTGACAGAGATAAGAGAGAAAAAGGCAACGCGGGGCATTTGGCTGTCTCCCTGCACCACCAGCAACAAGATGGGGACGTATGTGTTTCGGTGAGGTCAACAGCTGAACTGTCAACGTCGAGCGACGATATTTATTACGGGGGGCCAATAGGCCGCCGCATAAAAATGCGGTACAACCGCGTGCTTGCGATGCTCGCCACAAGCAGAGGGTGAAACAGCGCCACTACCATCACTACAACAGTGACTCCCGCCAAAAACGGCTTTTTTAGCCTCGGCACCTGTCTCAAGTCGAGTCCCAGGTATTCATCGTAAAACTCATACGCCCCGCAGCGCAACTGCAGCGTGTAAAGTGCCAAACCCACCAAAACCATGTAGAACACGTGCACCCAGTCCGTGTAGGGATATGTCATCATAACATGGAACGCCGTTTGACGATCTGAGTAGTCAAAGTCGCTAAGCATAGCCCGCACCTGCCGCCGTTGCACGGCGTCGAGGCCCAAGGTCCGATATAGCAGTTGCTTGTCTTGACCCCCGGCAAGCTGCGTCTTTATGGTTGAGGAAACGCTTTGGCGCATGTAATCTTTGAGAGTGTCATGCTCCACGCTCGGCTCCAGCGCCCTCCCCTCGCGGCCGCGCAGCTTTCCCACCTCCGTGGTGGGAGGAAAGGCGTACCCCTGAAACCGCATCACACCCAGTCGCTGCATCAAAACTACTGGGTCGTAGGCTCTGGGCCCACTGCTAAGCTCCACCTTGAGCTTGTTGCTGGAGCGAAGGTAATCTATGGGCTGCTCCTCGAGTCCGCGTTGCACCTCCGCCTGGTTGTACGAACGCCCTGTCGCCTCACCTCCATTCGGGCTGCTGCCACCGCCACCGCCGCCACTCTCACCTACAGTACTATTGCTAGCTTCACTCGAGCCGTACTTGGAGCGAAATTCCTCTAAAAGTTGTTGATACTGTGGGGCTCCTTGATAATACTCAAGCCGACGAAGATCCAGTTCCATCTGCTGCAGAAGTGGCCGCTCTGGCGGCGCGGCATCGCCCATGCCCGCGTCGCCCTTCTCCCCCTTCGCAAAGGCCCGTCCAGGCCCCTCCTCATCGCCAAATGTATCTTTAACTTCGAAAATAGAGTCTCTCTGGCCCGTCCGAAGAAAATTCGCCTCCGGTGCGCCTCTCGCCGTCCTTGGCTCCGGCGACGCGTCCTTGATGACTCGGAGTCGTCGTGTGGGGCGCTCAGGCTCGTCCGGCAAAAGGTGGTGCCCTGCGTAGACGCTTGTCGAGGCCAAACCGGCGGCCTGCTCGTCAATGTAATGCGGTACACGGGCCGGGCGACTGGGCAGCTCCGGGGCGAAGGACTGTCCTGGACTCAGCCGCGGGGCTCCGCCCTTCTCCGCGGCACTGCCGTCGTCCGGTGGCCACTGCTTTCGGCGAAGAAACTGCAGCGACGCGTCATCTGCGTCGCGATCCTCCGGCGGCACGTAAAACGCAGGACGAGGCGGCGGCGGGGTTACCTCCACTGCGCTACGTACGCCTCTCTCGCCGCCGCCGCCGCCGCCGCCGCCGCCGGCTGAGGCATGCCACCGTGAGGCAAAACACGCCCCGACGCTGGCCACTTTTGTGGCTACCATCGCGGCGGGGCACAGCCCTCGGCGCATTCCCCCTCCTCTCTCCCCCCTGTTTCTCTGCGTACGTGGGAAACGAAAAGAAGGGAAAAAGCAAAGAGGGAAAGCGAGAGGCTGACAAGAAAAGCAAGGCGAAGAGACAAGGTGAGGGCGGCGCACAGCCGCATCCGTCACGGCGACACACGCCACACTCCACACGAGCACGGGGCGGGAGGAGAACAGTAGTGGAAGGGCAATTTATTTTAGCTTTTTCGTGTGTTTCTTC